AGCGGAGATCATTTTTTTAAAAAATGCTTATGCATTACAAACCTACCTCCGTTTAATTATTTCTTCTGTCTTGGTTCCTGAAGAAGTTCAGAGTAGATTCACAGGAGGTGAAATCTGGGGGTCACTGGGATGCGCCTGCAGAACGCCGTTGATTCTGAATGAGAGCCACGATGACTTTCGTAACCAATCTTGGGTCTTAAATTCAGACGGCCAAGAGAGACACCAAAAGGTTAAGTTCACGCAGCTATTTGAGAAATGCAAATGCCTGAGCAATTTGAGTCTTAAGAACTTGGAAGCAAGAATGCTATTCAAAATCCTGCTGGCGTTCAAACGGCACCAGCCCAGCGTCACTCTGCGTGACGATGCGTTAGAGGTGGCTTTCTGTTGTGAGATCTTCCCATATCCTAAGCTTGGTCATCCAGCCACACTTTTGCAAGCCTCTGTCATACGCCACGTGTACCCCTCGTTGATTAGGATAGCCAGGGCCAGTTTCTCTTGCTTACAAACAAAAGCTTCTCAATTGCCACCAGATCCAGAGGTTCACTCTCCACCAGGCCTCGGGGAGAGCCTGCAAATGGGAACTGTTAGGTCACCAGGATCCTCGTGTCATTCCTCCTCTCTGCTCTCTGCTCAGCTGCTTCAACCCTCTTTATCCCTGAGAACTTCCTTCCTCTACTGCTTCAGTCACGTGGGGGGCAAAAGACGGTCTCCCTGTAATTTCTGATCAAGAGACCCACTTACACTGATGAGTGAGCTAATACCCAAATCCTAAATCCATGCTTCTAGGTAAGAATCCGATGGCCCACTTGGGCCAATCGTCCACCCCTCCCGATGAATCTGTGGCCAGAAGTCACTGTCATGTTGTGCCATTATGCCCGCCAAGGGCCCAGGCCCCGGGGTGGTGAGGGAGCAAAGCCATTTCCACACGACGGGGCAGAGATGTGCTTGGCATCTCTGCCAAAGAAGTCTGCTTCATCCACGCTTCCCTTCGTAATGACTGTTTTGTGTGATCTTCCTGCTCACCTCTACCATCAGTCTATCCGTGTTCTTCCTAATCCTCTGACATCTCATCAATGCACGTTTAATCCCTTCCTGCCTTTCCAGAGCTTGTGTAAGTGACACGTTCCCCTTGAAGCATTTCTGTTGCCTTTAACATCTGGTTTTTAACACTCACTCACTGTTTTGTCTTTCAACATGGGCTTCCTTGAGCCTTGATTCTGGCAAGTTCTGCACTGGGACCTGTGATCAGTGTCTGGTACCTGGCACACACCTCTCTGTGTGTTTCATAAAATCGGCAGTCAGCAGAGCCCCTGAAGTTCATTGCTAAATAAAATAGTGAGGGATAGTCACGTTCGAAACTGGGTTTCATCCTTTGTGCCTTCATTTCATTTCCCTAATTAAAATGTCCTGGTTCATTTTATCGATATGCGGGGG